GGAGGAGAAAGTAGCAGCAGCGGCAATTACAGTAAAAATGTTAACATTTGGTACATGTAGGTGAAGGGTATAAGGATGTAATTATACTTTTCCTGTGTATTTGATTTTTTTTCAAAATAAAAGATGGGAGGAAAAGAGTGATATAGTTTAGATATTAGAGAACCATGGGTGCTTTCCAGCATTTTTCAGCATTGGAATTTACTATCAAACTGTCTCTTCTCTAGGGCTTAAAGTATTCTCTCATCCTTAAAGTGTACCCCGTAGACTTCAAATCCACACTGATCATCCAATACACCTCAACTCCTCCTGTGTCAGTATTACACTTGAGAAAGTCTAATGCCATTCTTGGCTAGGTGGGGACACCACCAACAAGCCAAGCTTCAGTTTCCCTAAAATAAATGGATGACCCAAATTTATTTAATAATTATTGTTTATTAAGCAACTTATTAACTTAATAAATATGTAGCAAGCACCTATTATATACTTAGCAATGGGGAGAGAATAAGAAGCATTTGCCACACTAGATACTAAAATTTACTATAAAGCTATCACCATTAATTAAAACAGGATGATAGTGCACAGAAATGAACAAACCGATCAGTAAAACAAAGAGGCCAGAAATTGACCCAGAGATACATGGAATTTTAATAGTTAACAAATTCAATTCAATGAGAAAAGAATGTTTTATTTAATAACAATTAAGAGCTAAGTACCTTTCTAAGATGGCATAGTTATTAAAATAGTTAAGCCATATTTCAAACTCACCCAGGAACAATAGACAAATCCTTCAGCCTAGCAGCCTCACTCACAGGACTATATCCCATAAAATTAAAAGCATGGTCATAAGCTACAAAGATGTTTATTGCAGCACTGTTTTTAGTGGTAAAACAACTGAATATAACTGAATGCCCAAGAACAGACAAATGGCTAAGTAAATGGTTAAACCATGGTTTATTAAAACAAATGAGGTAGATCTTTGCCAACTAGGAGGAATTTCTATAATTGTTACGTGAGAAAAAGTAGATACAACAAAATGTACATGATGTGACTGATTACCTCTATTTTATTAGGGTTAACTCAGAAGTAGAATTGTTAGGTGTTGACTATATTGATAAGAGTTACATACAACTAAATTAACATCATGCACACACACTCTATTTTAGCTTCAGATAAATTTCTACATGTGGAATTGGTGAGTCAAAGGATATGTGCTATACATGCCATTCTAATATATTGGGTTGTCA